CTCGAATTAGTACAAAATTTGCTGCAAAAGCAAAAGGTTCCCAAACTTCAACGAATTAATTACTTGCAAAATTGTCACCTAATAGCGTGATGACAACAATTCTTTGCCATTAATATGAAATAATAATTTTCAAATTAGTACAGTACTCTATATTTAAGTGATTTCATGCACAATAATTAATTAGAAATTAATAAAGCAATATTAGAATATATTAGAATCACTATAGTAAATCGTATTTGTTATTTTTACATTGTAGAAAGATAATGATTAAATCATGTAATAATATGTTGTTACTTAATTAAGAAATTGTATTATCATTTTATTTTATTTATAATTGCAATCAGCTAATTCCGGTTATTTTTTAATTTTTGAATTAGTTGAAATAGTTTAGCCGAATGATAAATAAATTACGCCTGGCATTAAACACAGTGAGATAAAGGTCAAAAAAGAAGGAAATGAGAAATGACGAGATTATCTGTAAATTATAATTTCATAAATTTCAGTTGTATTGGTTACCGGTGCTTCGGGCTACATAGCATTGCACTGTGTGCAACAACTTCTCGAAAATGGTTATACGGTAAGAGGTACGGTACGAAATTTACAAAATTCATCCAAGGCTAGTTAATTTTTATTCCTTTTTTCTATCTTATAAAAGTAAGCTTTAAAAAAAAGGGTGAAATTTTGAAACTTATGAATGTTTTAACAATTATCAATCAGTAACAATATTTGAAGAGTACTTGTTAACTGAAATGCCTAACAATTAGTATTAATCTAGTAATAGATATCCCATTATTCTCTATACTAATGTATAATCAGAAATTCTTTCTATGAAAAATTATTAGCAAATTTTGAAATGTATATGAAATTGAAACTTTTTAGTTTTCAATCCTCGATTTTTTGAATAGTTCTTGCGAGTTTTGCGTAATTTACTTATCATTTATCACATCATATTGACTTTAAAATTAAAATAAGTAAATCATTTATTAGATTTGTTGAAAAAGAAGTCAATCTGAAAACTTTGCCGTAATGATACTTAAATAATTAGGAGTTACTGCTGTAGATAACTTTAAAGATACTTATAAAAAAATTCAGCTGTAAATGGTGAAAAATAAAAATTAGACTTAAAAATTTTCTGTTTATTCTAGATTACTCCATTACGTGATCTAAAGTACAGTTCGGAAAGATTGGAATTGGTGGAAGCTGATCTTGAATGTCCAGATCATTGGCCTAGGTGATGAAATTTTTTTTTAATTGTGTCATCCCTTTCTTTTGTGCCAAATTTTGTATAATTTATTAAAGATGCTATATATCTGCACATGTAATTCAAATAGTTCAATATTTATGTTTGGAAAATTAATAATAGTTTTTTTTTTTTCATTTAAAAATTTTAGAGCAGTTGAAGGATGTACATATATTATGCATATCGCGTCACCTTGGCCTATTGTAGCTGATGAAACGATCATAAGAATAGCTAAGGATGGTACTTTAAATGTACTAAATGCTGCTGCACAATGTAGCACTGTTCGGAAAATTGTATTAACAAGCAGTACAGCTGCTATAAATGGTAATATTTAGGATAGAAATAAAATTATAGCAATTTAAAATAAGATATATTAATTAAAAATAAGAGAAGATATATAAATGTTAAAATAAAATATATTAATTTAAAAAAAGAGAAGATATATGAATGCAATATGAATACTTGAAAACAAATTAACTTTGATTTTTTTCATATACATAT